TGCAGCGTTTAAACTGGGTCTAAAGCTTGGATATTTTATGAAACACGAGCAGTCCCTTTATTTTAAGCCTGGACCCTAAAACATGACTTGAGGATCCCAGAATAACCCACTCAAAATACAGCTAATGCACGCGGCTGTGCACCATATATCTTGGGTGAGTAATATATTGCCACGTTTCCTGCTCCATTTACCCAATTGTAACTCCGCCCGACCTATCCTTGCCCTAATGGAAACCAGCTGTTTCTCACAGAGCCCCATCCCCTGCACATGTTTTCCTGGTCATGACTGAGCCTAAATCACCTCCCTCTCAAGTGCTGCCCGCCAGCTGTCCTGTGGTACTAAACAGCAACAAGCCCTTTTCCAGGACCGCCGAGCAACTTTCTCCATCTCTCCCCGTCTTCCAGCTCCTGCCCCTATCCATCTCCTATGTTTGGGGGCTCCAGACAGGCAGGCTGGTCTAGTGATTGGGGCATCCACCTACGCCTTGTGAGACCATGGCTTCAGCTCTCCGCTCTGCCACAGACTTCCCCTGTGACCATGGGCAAGTCACTTAGCCACACTTGCTTCAGTTTCCCATCTGTAAAATGGGGAAAATGGCACCGCATCATCTCATGTGACGTGGGGAGGAGAAATCTGTTAACCGCAGGTCTTCTTGTGGCAATGGGGCAAGGCACGGCTTTCCTATACCACTTCCCTGGCTTCTACCAGTCCCAGAGAATGAGCAACTTCTTCATCCAAAACATTAGGAGTTGCTAATTAACAGCTCGATCCTGTCTGGTGACAAGCACCCCAAATTTCAACTGGCTTCAGTTAGAGTGGAAAGAGCCTGAAGGACCATTGGAAGAGTCTCCTTTGCACTCCCGTTCAGGGACCGATCCTGTGAGCTGTTACCCCTTTGAGCTGTCCTCAATGCAAGCTGTACTCGACAAAGTTAGGATGAGGTCCAATAGCAGTTTCTCGGATCAGTTTGTCCTGAAACCTGCTCCAAACCGATCAAAGAAAATATGAACAGAGATGTGCTGAGCCCTGAACTTTTCAGGGCACATGTTCAACGTGTCCACTTCATCAGACAATGCCTTTGCTTTACAAACAGAGACTGTATACATCACATTAGTGCCAAGAAACCTCAGTATACTTGACTGTATTCGTTCTTAATGGCTGTGAAGTATTAGCTGGGACTTGATGGAAAAGGTATCAAGAAGCACGTCCCATTTGCTGGGGATTTACTGTCAAGACAATGTTGAGGCACAGAAATTGATGGCTTGATCAAGTTAATGGGGAAAAGATTTCTCGTCAGGAATTAGTGGGATTACAAAATTGCAGCAATTCTCTTGCTTGCCTGTAACTGCTGAATTTTCTTTGCAATTCCCCATCATTTAGCTGCATAAATCTTACACAAATCAAACCAGGAGATGTCTGTGCAGAGAATAAGTTATAGAAACAGAAGTAATGCATTCAGCCCAAGAGGGCTGCACATTCGTACGGTGTCATCCGAGACAAGATTCCCTCTTGTTTGCTTGGTCCCAACTTCGACAGCAAAGCTAAGGCAGGTTTAATGACAATCAACAATATTAGAAAAATGAGAAATCATACATAGGTTGGTTTGTTGAGAAGTACCAGGTAACCATCGTCGGGTCCCATTTGGTCAAGTCCCTAAATCTGATCCAGCTGCCATCAAAATCAACTGAAAGACCTTCAGTGCCTTCCAACCTCCTTTGAAGTCAGTGGGAGATGGATTATGTCCTTGCATCTGTTTTCATTGATTTTTGTTTCTTATTTTTTTCCGTTGGAGAGCAGAACCTTTCACTTTTGCTTTTGCCAGATTTTATTTTTTTTCTTTTCAGTGAGAAGTAAAACTGGAAAGAGCCCTGTTTTCGTATTGCCAGGAGCGTGCGTGAGAAGGCATGATCTGCTTCCACTCGGCACAAGCTCCTTTTGGAGTCTCAAGGCTCTCATGCCAGTTCAGAGGCTTAAAGCTTTTCTAGGGGGAGTTCAGCTGGACTAAGGCAAGGCGTGGATCTGAAGCAGAATAGCAATTCTCAATGAACTCCCTGTTGTAGATGCTTTTGTTCTGGACTATGATTTCCTCCAACTCATTTAATTCACTTTTGTGGTGTAGTAAACTGCTTTGGAAGAAAGCAGTTTTACTCAGAATAAGAGAGCCGGTGGAGGGAGTTGATAGGAAACAGTTTTCTGGAATGCCTCCCTATGTGGAGATGCCCTTAGAGGGTGATGGTGATTTTGGGCTGGTCTGAACATTTGCTCATAACTTGACTTTAACATCATTTCCCTGCAGACAGATTATTAAGGAGGTGAGCAACATCCCTCCATTCCCTGAAGACCCCTCCAGGTCTATATTTTTTAATAAAATGTTGCTTCCTAGGGAACACCATCTCCCCGTGCTACTCACATGGACCATCATTGCCCAGTGCTCCATGGCAAACTCCGATGCCTGCAGTGTTGTCACACAGTTACCCGAGATGTCCGTATACCCTGCCTGCAGCCAGGTGCTGGCTCAAGAATCAGGAATCTTATCTCAGATGTTAGCATAAAACTGTGGACAGATCCTTAACTAATAGCAGTGTACACAGATTCACTCCGGATCCCAACCCAGACATTTCCAGCCCATGGCCTTTCCTCTCCACAATGTCCCTTGATCCACTTTCTGCCCAGCAAATCTCTAGCACTCTGCCAGGATCACTTTTTCATTTCTAGCCATGGGCCTGCTGGGAAATACAGCTCATTTATTTTGCACTAATTGAAACCGAATACCTGCAGTCTTTCAGTGGTCAGATTTCTCTTTGGGGGAATCCAGGCTTTCAGTTCAGGTTCTGGGATCACAGAGCTATTAATCACTCCGTGACCTCATCAAAACTAAAATTTATACACTACAGATAGGTATTTCCTGGTACGAATGGGGAAGAGTTTAAGAACGGGCTCCGATTGCCCGAGGGTGCATTACTCTCTTTTTAACCTCAATTCCTTGGTGTGTGCTGCAATACATAGGATAACACAGGCCATCCTCTCCCTGGAAAAAGTCAGCAGGACCATCTGAATGGTCTACGTGGATCCATACCCAGCACAGTGGGTAGAAGTTACCCAGAACTTCATTCCACCCAGTGCTCCCGTCCCGAGGAGTCGAGCTGCCTTTAGCTTCCAAAGACGTCCAAGTGATTTAGGGGTCCTCATGGGGTGGAGGTGTGAGTGTGGGAATGCATAAGTGTGGGGAGTGGTTGTATATGTTTGGGGCTCTGTAAGAAAAGCTCAGCCTCGTACAGCCCCGTTCTGCAGCTACCTCCAATTCATATTCCAGGGTACACGCGATTCCCTTTGAACCTTACTGCCCTGCGTTTGCATTTTCACAGACCTGCATTTTGCATTTTAGCTTCTATGCTACCCAGGAAAGCACACAAACACCGACAGACTTTCCCTATACCTAAAAAAGGGCATTCGTGCCCCCAAACTTGTAAAGAACAATTTTTCCAACTATTTAGTAGGTCTGATAAAAGATATCACATCAACCCAGAGAATCTGGTCTGCAGGTGATCCCGGTATCCAAGTGAACCAGTTATAGCTCCATGAAGTTGGGGCTGTAACTGTATCCCTAACATGGACTGGGGGCTGTTGTGGTTTACTAGCCAGGCCTGCCATACGCCAGCTAGAAATAGCCAGAGATCCATCTCTGCCATAACCTCTTCCTGCAACCTTGACCCCTGCATACACCAGTCACTGTGGCAGGTAGTCCAGGAACCAGCTAGGTTTGCTTTATGCCCAATGAGGATTTCTTCTTGCTGGAGAAGATCCCCAAGTTGAGAAGATCTGAAAACTTGCATCCTCTTTGCACCACGGCAGTAAGATGGAGAATCTGACCCCGGGACAACAGTCTCTCATGTCTGGAGGATTGATAAAAAGGGAGGTAGGGATCATGGCCAGATCACAGCACAAGTATGGCAGAGGGGGGGTTTGGAGCCTCCCTTCCTATGCATGGAGGTTTCACATTCATAGTGAAGTCATTAGGTGCGAGAAATAACTAGGCTTTACACCAAGCAGGGCTGGATGGAGATACTGGGTTAGACTGCTTTGCCAAATCAGACCTTCAGCACATACGAGGGGCTGACATTTTACACCAGCACCTTGCCCAATTTGACTCATAACTGTTCCACAACACGATGGTTAAATCACCACTGGTGCCTTAAACTCCCTCTGAACCAGTACTCCCAGGGCTGCTGCCATGGGTGGGGCTGCACCAGTGGTAGCAATTGGCTGGGGCAGAGGGGAGAAGGTCTTTACCAAACCCCCCAGCGTAGGCAAGACAATGAAACACAACACTACAGCATCAGGGGAATGGCACAGTCATGGTCTGTTTAAAGAAATGGGTGCTCTAATGCCCATTACTCAATGGCGTTGTAAAAGCAGTAGTGATACTACATCACTTTTCAACACAAGTCCATGCAAGGAGAGGGTCCATCTAAACTTGGTTTAACTTGGTTCAAGCTCTCTGGGGAAGCCATATTCTCTAAAGCAGGAGGTTGAAATGTTTCTTCTGAAAGTTTTGCACAGAAAAGAGGTGGGTTTTGTCCCTATGTGAACCTGTTCTTCCACCTTCCTCCTCCTTCAAGAGCTGTCCTTTCTCTGCCCATCCTTCTGCAGGTGTTCGATGCATTTATCCAATGCTGGGATCACCATGACTGCTATGTAAGCGAACCCCTTGACGTTCCCAAGCACCTGGGAAACTGGAAGCCTTCAATCCCAGCCCCAAATACAGGAGACAAAAGGGTGGAGCAGAAAGGCTTGAGGAAGAATAGAAGGAAAGGGGAAGCACAGCTGCCATCATTTTATAGGATAATTAAATACCCTATGTGGCAGGAATACAGTTAGACCAGCAAATCAATCCCCATTCAAGGGCCAGTTATAGTTACCTCCCAAGAGAGGATGCGTCCAATATCAAATGGATACTGTTCTTGATCTTACCTAATAGCTCACTTGAATCAGGTGCTCACCTAAGGTTTGTGAGTGATCTGCTGACTTTCCTCTGCACGTCTGTGCTGAACAGAGTCCTTAGTGTTCTCCAGGGCTACCGATACCATTTCGAGGGAGAGAAAGAGCTGGCTGTAAAGACAAAGGAGCATTGTCAGAAGAAAGCCACTTGCTAAAACACCGAATGGACATAAGGACGCTAATATTGTGCATGTAATAAATATCACAGCCGAATAAGTCACATTATTTAATTTTGGAAGAGGCCCTCTGCAGTGACATTTGGGAACATGCAAATGAGTCACATTTAGTTTTACTAATTGATGGATTTTTATGGGATGGTTTGGATAGGGGTGACCCTGCCTCTGGCAGGGGGTTGGACTAGATGACCCATGAGGGTCCCTTCCAGTCCCACTTCTCTCTGATATGTCATATTGTTTAAATTGCAGCAATAATAGTCTTATTGGATTTGATCCCCTACCTACAAAGTCATAGCACAAAATTCACATCAGTAGAGTTAATCTGGATTTACACAGAGGGACCAAAAGCTGAATTTGGCTCATGTGCCTTTGAAGCAGGCGGTATGTGTCTTTTTATTGTAAGATTCCCATGTTAAGTTACCAGCTCCCAAGAGTCCTTTGAACGTATCCATGATCCACGAGCTGGACTCCCAGGGACCACCAACAAGCTCTCCTTTTCTGCAAATTCCCACCTCCTCCTTCCAGATTTTGTTTTGGCAGCATCCTAAGCAACATGCATACTTTCAGGCATTTGAAAACAGCACTAATTTTCAGTGTTTTGGGGTCCAGTTGTGAGTGTGAACATTCCCCTGGCTTGAGCAGAAACTCACCTGGTTTTATACTCGATTCACACCGCGTGAGAGAGGTGAGTGGCTTTTCTGCAGGCACACAGAGGCAGTGACGGGGGTGGGAATAGATCCCAGGTCTCTTAAATGTCGAGTTTCCTACCAGCCCAATTCTGCGAGCTCTTCGGTTCAGAGGGACTACTCACACAGGGCAGGAGTCTATGCAGAAGCAAGACCTAGTACCATCAGCAGGACGGTGCCACTGCCATGACAGCTGGCTTTTTCCACCCCGCCCTGCAGTTGACTGCT